AAGTCAGTCAGGGATCAATCCCAGGACCCTGAGATCATGACCCAGGCCAAAACCAACAGTCGAATGCTTAATCAAATGAGCCACCCAGGCACTCCTCACTTTACAAGGTTAGCAACATAAAATAGTGGCATGAATATGGGGGGAAAATATTCTCATATACAGCTGTTAAGATCATAAATTGGTGCAGTCTCTGGGGAGATAATTTGGTAGTATCGATTGAATGTATACAACCTATGACCCAGCAATACTTTTTCTTTGTCCCAGAGTAACATTTGCATGTATGCATGAAGAAGATGTTTATTATAGCATTGTTTGTGATAGTAACAATTATAAACAACACATATTACCCATAGGGAAATGGCTAGTCACACAATGGAATGTTATGCAAAAAGTAGAAGGAATAAGGGAGATCTGTATGTACTATGAACAGGTCTCCAAGGCCCAGTACTAGGAGAAAATAGCAAATCAAGGAATCCAACATGAACCCACACATATATGCATATGCACACAAAATAATATATGATTTCTATGAATACATATGTATATTGTATGTAAAAGTATAGAAAAGGTAAGGTAAACACGTAAGAATAACGTTTGGTGAGAGAGATGAGGAAGCCAGGATTAGTAAAAGGTCATTAACTTTATCTGCAATGTTTGAAATGTTTAGAAGAACATTTATGTATCATTTATGAACTTAATATTTTAAAATATTAAATGAAATCTATAATGAGAACATCTGGCACACAGTAGACCTTCACGAACCGTATATTCCTGCCCCTCCATCAAAGGTAACGAGTACCTTGGCTTCAAACACAATAGACTGATCCCAGCAATGTGTCCTATTAAAATGAAACGTGTAAGACTTGGTTGGGGGGAGAGAAGGCCCTCCCATGGCACGTGGAGAGGGGTGACTTAGGGGGTTCAAGGGACAGGGAGAATAAAAAGGAAAATAGGGGAGATCACTGACCGAGACAAACTGAACAAATGAGATCAAGGAGGTCAGTCTTAACGAAACACAAAGACATGCTCCAAGGAAAACAGAAAACAGGATACCGTAACTATTCTCTTACTAAGCTCCTACTACGTTCCAAAGAGTTCGCATGCAATGTATCCCTTAGCTCTCAGAGCAAGGGTATTATTACACCCATTTTAGAAGAGCACACTGAACTCTAGAGGGGTAGAGGGGTTTGCCTGAGGCCCCACAACTGCTGGTGAATGCAAGAGCCAAACCTCAAACGGCTCTCCTTGCTACCCCGCTTCGCGGACAATCAAGAAAAACAAGTAGAGTTACAGACTCCAAAATCAAAGCAGAGATCAAAAGCGGTGAAACAGGTGTGTGAGTAAACTGAAGGCCCCGGGTTGCAGGAGGGGCGGGCGGAAGCGGTATGGCCTGAGGCTTTCCGCGCTGGGTCCCCGCGGCGATCAGAGCCTCCACCCTCGCGGAGCGCACAGAGACCAAACCTCCCGCTGCCTAGAGCGGCTCCAGCGCCGCGAGGAGGCGGGGCGAAGCCCAGCTTCCGGTTCCGGGCGCAAAGGCCCCACGTGTTTCGACCCGCCAGGCCCCGCGCGGCTCGGATCCGGCGGCGCTGCTACGGCCGGGAGTGGGTGGGGGAGAAGCCGGGGCAGGGGAGGAGCTGCCGGAGCTGCCGGAGCCGTGAGTGCTGAGGGGCTGGGCCGGGCCGGGCCGGGCCGGATCGCGTTGAGCCGGGCAGGGCGGGGAAGAGGGGGAGAGGTCTGAGACCCCGCCCCCCCAGATCGTGGGGAAATCTCACTGTCCTGGAAGAAGGGGCGGCGGCGGTGAAGTGAGGGGGTCTGGGCGTTGTGGTCCCCGGGGCTCCTGGTGGCCGGAGCTCGAACCTCTGGGGACGCAGATGGCGCTCCGGGCTTCTTTCGGTGCAGCCACCGCCCTCCGCCTCCTCCTGAGGCCTGTAGAAACGCAGTTAGTTCGTACCTCCCATTGCTTCCGCGCCAAGTGGCCCCCCGGCACCGAGGGAGGAGTGGTCTAGGCCCCTTTATTTCCCCTAGCTTTTTCTCACCCGGTCTTTCAGATTGTTCAAGAGCCACCCCCCGCTCCACCCCATCCTCCGCAGGCTCCCGGCCCCGACAAGCCCCATCTCTCTCCACCACCAACCCCCCCCCCCACATACAGATACAGTCACCCGTGATCTTATCACCCTTGGATACCGTCTGGCCTGTGGCTTTTCAGCTGCCACTGTGACCGACCCCACGCTTCCCTTCAAGCTAGTAGCTTCTGTCTCCCCTTGCAACTTCCCTCCCCCCTCCAACCCCTCACAGCCCAGTTTTGGCACTTCTGAACACCACCGTTACCCACAGCAGGAGTGTATAGGCCTCTGCTGCTTGTCTGGTTTGACCAAAAGTTTGTTAGTTTGTATGCCATGGATATTCTGTGTTCTCTCAGGGGTCAGCCCAATTTTTATTTTTCTGGCATTGGCGATTCTTGTCTCCCAGGCGCTTTGATTTCCCTGTCTGCCTTGGTCCCTGTACTGACCACCCCAAAGGTGGGCTCCGAGGCCTAGCTGTTCTTTGACCACCTTGGTCCTGGAGAGCACTGTCACATTCAGGCTCTCACTCGGAGGTTAGGGTGAGAACCGTTGCTTTTTCTCTGTCCACACACTGCAGGTGACACCCAGGGCAGCCTGACTCAGGAGCCACAGAAAGCTAGTGGAGTCCCCCTTCCCTTCTCCCAGCTTCTCTTCCAAGTCACCCCCCTGGGCCTTGATCCAGAAAGCCACTTCAGAAAGGTTGTGAGGAAGCCATTGGGAGGCATGTTGGTGGGAAGTATGTGACAACCAAGCAGTTAGGGTTTGTGGCCATTCGTCTTGGGTAACTTTCTGCTGATAGAGTCTAGTATAAGAGGGTGGGCAGGGTTGGTGGGAGGAAGGGGATTTTTCCTCTTAGGACCAAATACCTGGGATTCATAATCTTTCCCCCTTTTTCCTCCAGCTGTACCCCTTTTGCACTCTTTTAAATACTATATTGCAGTAGACAGTCATTTCAAGGGCACAGCAAGGTTTACTACGATGTGAGGGACTCTTGGGCATTACAAACTATACAGATGAGGTAAGTTACAGGTTTACATTTTTTTCCAGTTAATTTGCACAGGCATAAAACAGTCCTAGACTCTTTTGACTTTTGCAAACCTTCCTGTAAATTTGGCCAGCACTGGAAAAGTTGTATGCTTTCTGCTTGAACCTCAAGTTTACTTTCTTTGCCTTAGGTACTGGCTCTCAAACTTATCATGCTTCTCAAGCACCTGAAGGGAGGGCTTGTGGAAGAGATTGCTGGGTCCACCCCCAGAGTTTCTGATAATAGGTCTGGGCCCCGGGCTTGAAAATCTGCACATTTCTGACAAGTTTTTAGATGCTTGCGCTGCTGGTTTGGGTTTCTCACACTGAGAACCACTGCCTTTGGCCAGTCTCCTTCACATAAACAGTGCAGTGGTTTGGGGGATCAAAAGACCTGTGTATGTACTTCTGTGTTAGAAACTAGTAATATGATCTTGTATGGATAATTTAACCACTTCGGTCTGAGTTCTTTCGTTTTTAAAATTAAGAAAGCGTACTTAAAAAAACAAACAAACCTCCAAATCGTAGTGATCTTATGCCAAATGGAAGATGAAATATTGATGAATTTTCCCCTTGATTTTCTTAATTCTCTTGATAGGAGCTTCCGTTTTGACTATATAGCTTATATCCATATTTAGGTTTTTGCTACAAATTGCTAGTATATGCTAAAGTTCCTGCTACTTAACTGCTTATTAAATTCTTTAAGGTCAGAACTAGTGCTTTTTTCATCTTTCTCCGCCTGGACCTTGGTTTGTGTGGCACACACAATTGATGCTCAGTAGATATTTGTAGAATAAATAATCATATCCCCTGCTCTCTTTTCCCTTTGAGGAAGTTTTTCTCCACTAGTCCTGTGCCACATTGTAAAGCAGTATATGGCTGTGCCACCGGATTGCTCCAGGCGATTGGGATAAATGCCGATGCCAAATTCCTATAACTGTCCCTGTGAGAGATTCATTACCAAAGCCGTGGCACCCACTGATTCTGAATTTTAGTGCATCCGTATCCAACTGGGAGTAAGAGAAATAGCTTAATAAAATTCAACACATTTTACTGAGCGTCTTTTCTACCAAGCATCTGACAAAGTGTTAGGCACTTAGAATATAAAAATGAATAAAGAGGTCCTTGCCATCCTGGGATGCCTTCTACTCTTTGTACCATGATTTTTTTTTTTTTTT